ATATATATATATAAAAAATTTAACAGCACTATTTGCCAATGCAACACAGACTTTTGTAAGTGAAGATAAACAAATCATTTAAAAAATAGGCAGGACCTGGCTCATTAAAGGGGTCATGTGATGCTATTTTAAAGATCATTATTTTGTGTATTTGGTGTAACAGAATATGTTGACATGCTTTAATGTTCCAAATGCTAATATTTCCACATAGTGACGTAGACATGTGGTGGCGTGTTAGAATGAGCCGTTTTAGGTAGGCGTGGTTGACTCTTAACTTTTATCAAGAATATCTCTTTGGATTTGAGACTTTAGTCTTTGCGACTTTACAGATCTTCTTTATGCACCAAAAGCTTTTAACACTCCAAAGAGAAAGGAAAACTTGAAATCGCATCATATGATCCCTTTAAAATTATTGAATCTGTGGTTTTGAATGATTCTGTTGAATGAATGACTCGCAGGACTCACAAAAGTCCCCCGAATGAAACTCTCACAAGCTTTGAAATTGAATCTCCAATCCAGACTCCTCAGAATCAAAGAATTGATTCTTTTAGAATTCAGCTCCCTGCCCTACTATTTTGTGCATAGCGAAAATTTCATTATTATGTGGTGGCTGCACAATGAGACTACAGTAAATTATAAACACAGAGGAGGTGGCAACTGAAATAACTAATGTGTTCTTTTTTTTCTTTTGCAGTTTGGGAATAACAACTACATGAACATGGCTGATGCCAATGGAGCTCTATTAGCAGGAGATGTGAGTATACGCTTGAGGATAACCTTTACATTTCCATGGATTGTTAGCTCATGCCATGAGCCATATTATTCTGGAATCACTAAACGGTCATTTCCATGTCTAACCATTTATTGTTTTAAAACAAAGTCAATTAATTTAGCATGCATGCCTCTTTATGTTCAAATAAAATTATTAATTTCAGCGGCAGGTGTGCAGCTGCTGCATTTACATAAAACATGATTAGCTCCCTACAGGCCTTCTTGAACTGCTTTGGGATTTTCCACAACCCAAACCCTTAAAGCTTAGAGCTTGTTACGCCAGCGGCTACATGTTCATACACATAAACTTGCGATGTTATAATCTGACTGAATGATTCCTCCAGCGGATCCGGTATGTTTATGTATCAATGCTTGGTGTTAACAGAGCGACCGGCTCAGTGCTGACCGGAGGTTGAGGAGCACAGGGGACGCTGAACGTTGAGATGGGATTAGGGTTGCTTTTGCAGGGTGATATACCACAGGTGCTCACATCCTGCTGATATGGTCCAGGTGAAAGCTGCCATCAGGCTCTGGTGACGGCTGAAGGAGTGTGTATGTAAACACCTCTCCCCATGATCATTTATAGATACCTTCAAGCTAGAAAAGTGGCACCTCTCACAAAAGTCACTCTTTCTCTCCATCATTTTTTTTATCCCCTGTCAGTGACAATATATACTGCAAATCACAGGTTGTGTATCTCAGACTAGCCTCACTATCTGTGTGTGATTGTATACGGGCGCTTTACAGTACGTGTTGTCACTCACTGTTACACTCACTGTTGCCACTGCCTGATTTCCATCACATTTCCAATGCAAATCTCCTTCTCGCTATCTCAACGGCATCGGGATAGACTCATACTGGCTAAGCAAAGATAATGTCTGTGCATGTGAAGTGCGTTTGTTGCACATTTGTTGGTAACGATGTGTTAGTGTGGGCATCTGGCTTCATTTTCATTTTAAATTTCGGCGTTGAAGCCACAGCTTTGTCACAGGCAGTTGTACCCACATTTGATCGAGTCGGTTGCAATCTCCATAAATTCTTCTGATAAAAGTGTTCCTTTGCCGAGGCCAAGCTCCATGTTGGCACCTGCAGTGGAAGCAAAGCTGTCGAGTGTTGACGGAAAATTTCCCCCAGTCGAATATTTTCCTAAGAAATAGCGTTTCCTCCTTCGCACTGCAGCTGGTATTATGACACATGACACAATGAAATTAAAAGCATTAACATTTAAATTCCTCTTTTTCACATACCTGAAATAAGTGTAGGGCGGTGGGAGGGGGATATTGTTTCTTGTAACTCAAGCTGAAGAGAAATTAAAGGGACTTTACCCTAGTGAGTACTGTAATTTCACAGTGTGATGGGTTTTCCATGAGCTTTAGCTCTTTCATTAATCTGCTTAATGTGTCATCTTTAGGCGAGAGAGAGAGGGAGACCGGGAGAGAGAGGCTAAGTATCTCAGAGTCTGACTTTCTGCACTTTGTATATGGACCTGAATATACTGTATATGACATTAGATTTAATGTAAACCAGGTTTTTATATACACATTATTATTTTATTTTTTGAAAAAGAACTGTGATGAAAGAATGTGCATGGTAAAAAAAAATACCCTGTTTAATTTAGGGTTAAAAAAAAACAGCAGCTGTGGTTGCCAGACATTCACTGTAAAAATGAAAATGATTTCAGGTTCTGCAGAATGGCATATTTTTGCCTGTATATGCAGTCAAACCAAAAATGATTCAGACACCAGATATAATTTTTGGTATTTTTTACTAGTGGGTGCAGAACACCAGTGGTGTAATCTAACAAAGTAATAATACTTTGTTACAGTACACTGAAAAAAATAACTATTAAGATTTACTTAAAAAAATTTTGGTAACAAATTGCACGAATACATTTGAAGTAAATTTTACTGCTCTAATATCAAGTACAACTTACTCACTATTATTAAGTAAAATCTACTTACTAAACTTAACATTCATGAAGAAATTAAATCTAATTGCACCCTAATTAAGTAAATATTACGTAATTATATTTAATTTAAAAGTGTTTATTTAAAGTAATTAAGTAAAGTTGATTTATGATTTTATAGACAGGAACCTTGCATTTATAAAAATATTAAGTAAATCCTTCTATTTACTGAAGTAAATAAGTAGATTTTATTATATGTTTTGATCGAGATGTCCCATTTACTTAGTTTTATGTATATTACTCCCTATGATTATGTAAACATTGCTAATTTCTTTTTCATTAATATAACCACATGAACTGTATTCATTTTGTCTATACCAGGGATTCTCAACTCTGGCCCTCTAGGTCTACTTTCCTGCAGAGTTTAGCTCTAACCCTAATCAAACACACCTGAACAAGCTCATCAAGGTCTTCAAGATTACTAGAAAGTTACAGGTTGCTAAACTCTGTAGGGACATGGACCTCGAGCGCAAGAGTTGAGAACCTCTGGTCTATACCTTTATCACAAACGAAAATACAATTAAACTCTTTATTTTTCCAACATTAATAAAAGTGAATCGGTCACATTCACATGACCTACTAAAGCCTGGACACAAGTTTTTAAAGGTGCTGTAAAGCCTCATAAAAAAAGTGCATTAATCAACAAAACATGTATACCTCCACAGGTGATATTTGGTCTATTGAAAATAGAAAAAAATAAAGTATGACTGAATGCTACTTCAATTGTCTGCTGTTCTGTAATACAATACAATCTCCATTACCAACATGAACTGCATTTGCTGCAACATACAGTTTTGACCCCAGGAGGTATCAAATATAGAAAAAAAATACTTAAACAGAACAAGATGAGGTTTTAACCTG